ATATATATATATATATATACATATAGCCCCACAGCCGCTGGCTATCATCCAGCAACAACCAAACAAGTTCCATGAAAGTCCGATGGCGCTGTTGCCGGGAAGGCAAGTAGGACATTTGGTTTTGGTATTCATTTTATTTTTCGTGTTTTCTTTAGTTTGTAATTATCGTGTTTTGGTTCTTTCTTTCGTGAATCTTTGTTTTTCTCTTTGTCTTTGTTTTTGTATTCTTTTTTCTCTCTTTTCGTGGCTACGTGTGGTTGTTCTGTTTTGGTATGCAGGAATTATGAACTTCAACCGTGTTTTTCCCTATCCACACACCCAATCTTGGGTTAATGAGCTGAGCTATCACACCGGGTACCACGGCCAGTCATACTCATACTCTTCTGAGCAGTACTGTAACACCCCGACTTTTTAATATATCAGAGTACGCGATTTTTCGCAATTTTCTGAATAAATAAATAAAATACTTATTTTGCAAAAACTGATTCAGGATGCTACTGTGAAAAACTTGATTTTTCTCTGAAAACCGTTAAAATTTTATTCTGATAAATAAAAACGGTTATAACATCTTATCCGACTAATGTCGGAACAAAAACTGATAATAAGTACTGAAAGTTTTAGCGGAAATAACTGCGTGGCAAAACATATATACAATAATCACAAATATCCTGAACAGCCCGCCCGCTCACTCTTCGTCTCCGACCCTGCGACTTGAAAAACATGAAATGCGTGGGGGCGTGAGCACTAAAACACTTGTGCTCCGCAGAAACTCATACTAATGTAAACATCGTAAATAATAACAATATCATGAACTAAGCATATATAACTGAACTGAAACTGAAACTGAAACTGATATCTGATACCGGTCTGATCTCGCGCCATAAGTCACGTAACATATAACTGAAATCTGTCGGCACAAACTAATACCGCAATCTCCCGGCACAAACTAATACCGGACCATGTGCACATTCTAGTGGTTAGATTAGGCCACTAGAACCCAGAATGGACCGGCGACCATTCCGAGCGGATACTAAATATACATACCTCGAACATGGTAGCGTAATTATAAACAATGTATAGTCTGAGTCCCCACCTGAACTGCTGAAACTGAACGGTAGTGCTGATGCCTGATCAAACTGAAAATAATATAAACAATTACTATTGACTATGCTCAGACTGATAATTTAACTGTTTAATTATGTTAAGATGCTCTACTGAACCTGACATGATATTCGGACTTATTCGGTATAACTGAAACCGGCTAAGTACGAAACTGAACTGACATAAATTAACTGAACTGAAATTGACCCAGAATTTTAACTGAAAATAACACTG